CATCCTAATGCGACTACTGAAATCACAAGTGATGTCAAGCAGTCGCCTGAGACCTGCAGCATGAGGAGCGTACAACTTGGGTCATCCATGTAGAACAAGTGGGACACCTTCAAGCCCCCCCTTCGGAACTGAAAGCCTGTCCTCGAAGCCTCCAGTAATGACCTGAGAGGATTCAGGGCCAGGCAAAACCACAATGGACTCAGACAATCACCCTGAAATATACCCCGATTCACCTTTATTCGGTCTTCTACAGCCGACAGCTGCACACCGGATAGACTAAGCATTGTACTCCATTGCCCCATACAGGCACCGAGGAAGTCTCGAACTGTATCGTCTATCTTATACAGCTCGAGGACCCTCTTCAGCCATGTATGGGGGATCGAGTCAAATGCCTTTTTATAATCTATCCAGGCGGCAGAGAAATTTCGTCGGTTGCGTTTGACCTGCTGGCCAGCTACCGCGTCGATCAAGAGGAATTCCTTAGTACCGCGGCTACCACGCCTACACCCGTTCTGGGCACCAGACAGTACTCGACAGCTGTCTATGTGGTGTGAGATCTTAGTTTCCAGAACGGATGTCAGTGTCTTATAGGTGGTAGGAAGACACGTTATTGGCCGGTACTGTGCCGGATCCGCGGTACTTTCCGATTTTGGAATGAGGTGAGTGATCCCAGTAGTGAGGAAGTCGGGGAGCACTTTTGTATCTAGGGCTTCCTGGAACTGTCTGGCGAGGGTTTCGTGACAAGCCCGGAAACTTTTTAGCCAGTAAAGCTGCAGTCCGTCGCAGCCTGGAGACTTCCAGTGTGAAGAACTACAGACTGCAGCCTTAATATCACCTTTGCTGATAGTTACCGGGCTCATCGGTGGTATGCCCGCACACGAGTCCTCAATGACCTGCATCCAGGAGCCCTCCACATGCTCCACAGGTCTTGACCACAAGTTGCGCCAGAATGTGACCATCTCCTGTCCAGCTGGACGTTCGGTGACGGCGCTAACATTGGCCTGTTCTAGGGACCTGTAGAACTTCCTCTGATCACTCACGAAGAGGCGATTCTGGCGATACCTTTGAACTCGTTCCGAGTACCGCCGGATGCGCTTGCTCCAAGCAGCCACCTTCTGCTTCAGGAGGTCTATGCGATCTGCCAGCTGTTGTGCATTTGGCACTGCAGGGCCTAAGCCACACCCCGCAAACGCAATTCTGACAAACCGCAAGACTCTCGGCCTCGTGTTGCCCGTCCTGAAGCTAATCAGTTTGCCGATAAGGACTCTAGCGTCACTGATACGACGTTCAATTCTGCGCTTCCAAGCAGGCTCGGCATCTCTCACACGCTGAGCGTCGGCAGCTGTCACCTGCCGATTTGGCTGGAGCTTGGCGCCGATATACCGACATACTGCCATTGCGGCGCCAAACAGGATTGAATTCGTATCAGTGAGGCTGCTGCTGTTCTCCAAATATGGAAGCAGCATCTCGTTAACGGCCTCAACGACACTCCGACTATGGTGACTCTGAGCTATTCTGGGGATCCGGGGTCTCGCGTCGAGAGGCATCTCACGCACTTCCAGAATCGCCTCTTCAAGAATCCTTCTGATCTGCTCGTTGTCCTGGGAAACTATTCCGTCCGCCCCTCCGTCAGCAGCCAATGGTTGATAACCAGTGTCTACCGCACCGCCGACATTTAAGTCCTGCATAGATGCGATAGACACACGTCCTTCAGCTGGTGCAAGAGAGGAGGCCGGGACAGCCTCGAGTCGTAGTTGTTCGAGTTCGTTTGCGCTGAAGATGTTAGAGCGCATTATGAAACGAACTCGGTCGGCTAGGTTCTGGTCTGTGATGTGTGTCAGCGATGGCTCAAGCGCTTGAAAATTACGAAGCAGTCTTGCTCGACGCCCTGTGCCGCCTGTTTCTCCCCCCACAGCCCCAAAGTGGGCGCGCATGACATTGGAATTTTGTTCACGGGTCCATCGCATGCGCCGCCCTCCACCGAGTGCGGGTGTCTGTTGCGGAGTCCTTGTGGACTCTGCAGGCACCAAGCCTCCCGGTGGTGATGATGATGGGGGTTCGACCCGCTGAAGTGGTCTTAACGNTAACCATATAATACCACATTATAAACAAAAAACATATATCCAAAAAATTAAAATAAAAAATAAATGTTTGACGTGGACAACCCTTTTCACTTAGGGGTATGAAAAATAGATAGTAGCCGATTCTCAGACCTACTGAACATGCTATTAATACACAAATAAAACCAAAAAAACGTGGTTGAATAATGTATAGTATTGTATAGCTCTCAAATATATTGAGTGTATAATCTATGATGTATAGTGAGTAAGACAGGGATTTTTTGGCGGGAACGCGAGGAGTGAAGTTGTGTGATTTGTTTTATTTTGTCTATTTAGTGTTTCTTCGGGTTTAAATATGTAATAATGGTGGTTTATTAACTGTTTAATATCTGTGAAAGTGCACAAATGTGGGAAAATGAAACAAAGCCGCTGGACGTAACTTCTCGGGATCCTCCAAAAAGTCCACTCAAAAAATCTTAGTAAATGACCACCACTTTACTGAGATTATATTTCATCTCATTTCATTTCATTTAATTTCATCCCAGTTGATTAACGTCTCAAATTAATCATCTTCATTTCATTTCACTTCATAATATAACTTTTCATAAAAATATGAATATAAATTAAAATAAGACATGACTTAAAGGTCTCAGTTACCAGGTCATAAAATTCCATAAAAAAAAGTAAGACAGGAGACCGGCTTCGTCCTCATCCCTACTACGTGATGTTTGCTGGATGAGTGGTGACACCAGACGGGGATAGCTGATCGATTGATAGTTGATCAGTAGTCGACCGGCGAGGGCGGGAGATCAAATTCAATTTAAATAAATCATAATTAAAGGAAATTGAAATTATAAACTCTGAATAACAATTTATCGTACTACAATTATAATATTTGATTGCCATCTTGCAACCTTATTGCGGATCTGTGCATAGAATTAAAAAAATATTAATCGGGATGGAAAATTAGGGGTTGATCGTATAAGAGTGAAAATTAAGAGTAATATGATTTTTTTTTATTTTAAGTCATGACAAAACAAAATAAAAAACTTGCCAAATAAATTAAAGTTTATAATTAACAAATAAAAAATACGGATTGATCATAGAGGGATAAAAATTGAGACTAACATCAGATTTTTTATTTTAATTCATGACAAAATAAAAATAAAAATAAAAAACTTGCCAAAAAAATTAAAGTTTATAATTAACAAATAAAAAATAGGGGTTGATCGTAGAGGGGTGAAAATTTCAGAGTAATATGATTTTTTTTATTCTACGTCATGAAAAAATCAAAACAAAATTCTCGCAAAAAAATTTAAAGTTTTTAATTAGCAAATAAATAATAAGGGTTGATCGTAGAGGAGTGAAAAATTAGGGTTGTATGTATTTTTGAATGCCGTATCATAAAAAAATAAAAATAAAAATTTTTGTCTAAAAAATAACAAATAAAATTTTGGGGTGGACCACCCTTAATATTTAGGGGGATGAAAAATAGATGTTGGCCGATTCTCATAAATACCGGATAAGCACAAAAAATTTCATCAAAATCGGTCAAGCCGTTTCGGAGGAGTATGGCAACGAAAACTGTGACACGAGAATTTTATATATTAGATAAACCCCCCTTAACAGTTCATTATGTCCTTTGAATGATTCTTATCAGTGTATTAACTAAAAAACACAGCTCAATTTGAAAAGGGTCTTCAATGTTGGTAATGAATGATTATTGTAAAATCAAATTCAAGTTTCAATTAGAAAGGTAAGCTTTGCAAGAATGTAACTAATACCATGGTCAAAGCTATATTTGACTTTATAGAAGTCACTGCTCATTCGCAAGATGAATGTACCTGATGACCGAAGTCATCGACTTTCTACAAACGATTTAATGTACTTAGATGACGGTATCCATCGGAGCTGGCTTCCATGGCGTTTTTAAAATGATGATGTCAGCGTTACTGACGCCTTTCTTATTATCATTATCATTGCCTTCAATAGTTTATTATAATTGATGCGACGAAAACCAGCAGTGTATGGACGAATTCCTTTATTTGTCAGAAAAAAATTGGGTAGAAATAAATGGCTGGCACGGCTGGTTTTATTACCACTGTCCTCGCTTCGTTGGCTTTGGCTGGTGGTGGTGGCAGAAGGGGGCGTGTTAATACGTGGATCGGCGGCAGGGCCTTAGAACTTATATTTCAAGGTGGGTGGCGCATTTACGTTGTGGATGTCTATGGGCTCCAGTAACCACTTAACACCAGGTGGGCTGTGAGTTCGTCCACGCATCTAAGCAATAAAAAAAAATGGATAAAAAAGTCAGGACAACAACAAACGAAGAAAATCTTCTATTTTTTAGTGATTTTTTTTGTCTAATTATGAAGACTCTTAATATTTTAGTTTAGTTAGTTTTAATTAATTTTAGTTTTAATTAATCATACACACCTATATAATTTTCTGGATATGTTGAGCACTGCTCGAGGTAAATTAAACAAGATATTTAGATTATATTATATAAAAAAAAAACACCTATTTAAAAATCAAGAATGCAACACTGTCGGGCCTTATAATCTATGGATGGGCGACGGTAATGATGATTACTCAAGCAGTGAGATGAGTGGAATCGGCAAGCTCGAAGATTGGGATTATAAATTAATATTAAAAAATTCCTAACCTTTTTTTACTGACTGTACCTATTTTTTTCGATTTGACAGCTATGACGTCACAATATGGCGCAGTTCCACCCACATTCTGATTTGAAACGCATTATAAATTTGTAATAAATTCAGTTTCATTCCTGATGTTTGAGTCAAACCCGACAAATACAATAAGTCCTTATTATTATATACCCACTTTGGTCTCTGTCTTACATTACATTTGTTTATGAGCAAAAAGATACGCCATTTAATAAGCGAATAAAAAAAAGGAAAAGAATAGACCATAACATACCACAGCCAGTTGATATGCCGTAGTACAGATGACTACTATGGACACCATGAGTTGTACCAACAGAGCTCCGGATAAGTAATGCTTGATAGCCTCTGCTGCGTCCAAAGCGCGCTTATGCTGCGAAATTATATTACGAAGCCTTTCTGTAATGACTTTTTCTTCGTCTGATGTGATCAGATTCTACAAGAGCAGTACAGATCAATTTAAAATATATCCGTCTTTCTGACCTATTAAAGAAATCACAGATCCTTACCCTCTTGTTCATCGGTATGTCCAAACAAAGATTTCGCAATGACAAAGCCACTAGCTTTAGTCTACATCTGCAGACAGCCACTAACGATATGATGATGATGTCAACATTGAAGTCAAAAGACCCCGTAAATATCACTACTATGCACTGAACAAAGAAAATATAATGAGTAAAGTGTATCATTTTGGCTTTGTTCCATTTTTTAGATTTGGATATTTTGAAATTGGGCTTAGAATGATCAGATGGCGCAGTAGTTAGCGCATCTGATTGCCGGTTTAATGGTTCTGGATACGACTCCCACTTCAGGCAAACTTTGATAAGCGAACAGGTTTTTATGCTGTGCTTGAGCGTTTAAAACTGTTACGCCGGTAAGAGTAACGCCATCTGTCATCAAACGACGCAGCGACGAAAATCAAAAGAACTAGTAATATCGAGAACGCTCGAGAAGTGTAACGCCATCTATTATCATATTATAGCAAAAAAACTCGAAGCGAAACAGTGAGCGGAACACCTAAAATGAAGCGGAAGAAGTGAATTGTGATTTGTAAAGAGTGCCTAAAGTGTTTTAAGTGTTAAATAGAGTTTTAATTTGTACTTCGGTGAAAGTTTTATCTATCCCTAGCCCCAGCGCGTGACAATACCAACAAAATGAGATTATTTCTTGTATAGTCGTTAATAGCAAACACTTGAGGGTAGATTTCTTATAAATTCTAACAGAATAGATACTTGCCACCAATATTGTGTATTAAATTATAATAGCAAAAAGATGAAATGTATTTTTTATTAAAAAGCTATCATTATTTATGAACGCAAAACGATAGAATATTGTGAGGCGTGTCAACTCCGGTAACCATATTATAGCACCGTGTTAGCCTTAAGCTGGTCCCTTATCTACCCTATACAGTGGTTCCGTAGTTAGCGCTCCTGAGTATTGTTCCGAGGGTCGTGGGTTCGATTCCCACATCGGGCAAAAATTATGTGATTAGCAGGTATGTTAGCTTTGTGTCTGAGTGCTTGTTATCCGTATATGAATATATTTAAATGCATATAAGTATGTTTGTCAGGCTCTGGTATCAATGACACAGTGAATCCTAAATTGGAGCCGGGTGCCCGTATGTGTGAGTTGTTCAAAATTATTATTAAAAATAATGTTATTATTTAAGGCAATTAAATCCAAAAATTCACAGGACAGGTGACAGGATACTGCTTACCTGATGTACAAATGCAAATTCACGCCCCGGTGATTTCAATTCATTGAATGGGTACCTTAAATATTAGAAATACGTCATGATAATTATTATTTATTTAAAGTATATATATATATTCGTCCGCTTCGCTGCGCATTTAAAATTTACATTATTATTTATTGTCATTATTATTAGGGAGTCCAACACTCATATACATATTAGCCTATCCATTTAGTACATGTATTTTCAACATGGATACCAAATTTGAAGTCAATCGTATGCAAGATTCAGTAGTTATAACGGAACATCCGTAAAAACCACTGTAGACCACTTTGTAGTCGTCGTGGCCGAAAGGATAAGACGGCCGGTGCATTCGTGTGTAGCGATGCACCGGTGTTCGAATCCCGCAGGCGGGTACCAATTTTTCTAATGAAATACGTACTCATCAAATGTTCACGATTGACTTCCACGGTGAAGGAATAAAACATCGTGTAACAACCCCGCAAAATTATAATTTGCGTAATCACTGGTGGTAGGACCTCTTGGGTGTCCGCACGGGTAGGTACCACCATCCCGCCTATTTCCGCCGTGAAGCAGTAATGCGTTTCGGTTCGAAGGGTGGGATAGCCGTCGTAACTAACTATACTGAGACCTTAGAACTTATATCTCGAAGTGGGTAGCACGTTTACGTTGTAGATGTCTATGGGCTCCAGTAACCACTTAACACCAGGTGGGCTGTGAGCTCGTTCACCCATCTAAGCAATAAAAAAAAAGATTTTATATTAGTATAGATATACATACACATAAGGTCGCTGAAAGAAATTATGGTTGGAAGTGGTAAAGGCGGATATTGAGGAGAATATTATCACCCAGACGGATGCCGAAGACTGGACCAAGTGGAGGAGCTTAAGGTGAAAAGAGGATCCTGGCACTAGACCGGGAAACGCTAAGAAGACTACGAGTATATGTGAAGTATAACATGATGCACGTGATTTATCCATTGTTTGCCACATCTTTCATATCATCATCAGCCTGTATTTCTCCACTGCTTGACGTAGGCCTCTCCCATAGTCCGTCACAATGAACAAATCCTCTCCCATAGTCCGCCACAATGAACGATCCTCCGCCTTCCGCATCCAATCTTTGCCAGCATATCGCCGCAAGTCATCGGTCCAACGGGCAAGAGGATGCCCAACGCTGCGCTTACCGGTATCATATCAGATCAGGTTTATAACAGACGGTGTGAACGGGTCGTTGTAGAAATATATAGTATGTCCAACTCGAACCCGTTTATATTAAGTCCTACGTTGAAGCGGCTAAGCGAAGCGTTGAAAGTCTCAGTTACGGACCAGACAGTTCTTCCAACTGGAATAGGTAGGTACCAATTTTGCTATGGAAATAAGTACTTAGGCGCAAGCTCAGATCTTTGGACGAGAGCGAACAGGGCACAAAGAACTTGGGAGTGATAAGTTAGATAGGGAAAGCCATGAATAAATCGGATTGGAAGAAATTGCTGGACCAGGCTAAGGCCCAGCCGCAACTTAGTGCTGCAGATAATTACGATGATGATGATGATATGTCACGAATGTAAACATTTTACTGTATTAAAAAACATTACTCACTTAGATCGGATGAAAAATGTGCTAGTATTCTCGCCCATGAACCAACATATGATCGTAAATGCAACGAAAAAACCGTAATACTTTAAAAACAGGGTCGTATTCTTGTCAATGCTGTAAGAAAATCTTTGTAATCAATTTGTTAACATCAATATTAAAAAGTTGTATCTGTTTGTGAATTCGTTCTGTGTTATTTTCGTCTTTTTCTTTTTCTTTTTTTTTATTGCTTAGATGGATGGACGAGCTCACAGCCCACCTGGTGCTAAGTGTTTACTGGAGCCCATAGACATCTACAACGTAAATGCGCCACCCCCCTTTCTCCAGCTTTCACTTTTTTACTCCCGGTTTCCCGCACCAAGGAGGCGCGTGTAAGTAAAAGGGCGGGTGGGCGTATGTGAGACTATTAAATTCACTCACTAAATGAGCATCTGAGCCCCGCCTGGATAGAGCCCGAGAGAAGCGTATCCCATTACTCGGATGTTCGGAGGATTTCTCCTTTCGCGGCGTGGGATATATCTTCTTGGGGTATTAAGTGTTCACAACTGGCTATTTTTCATTATTTCCTGGGGATCTACTGATGCCTTAATGGAATACCCTACAAGGGCATAGTACTGTCACCAGACCGTCTATCAAGCATAGTGACTATTAGCATAACCCTCCATAAAGGATCGATAATGGGCATAACGGACAAAGCACCCGTTACACCATACCATAAGTGAAAGTAGAACTAATTCATAGAACTAAAGTATATACCTGGCTATAATCCTTTGGCCTTCCACTTTCTTTTCAGAATTCAGTATTGCATCAGCTTCGTTTGTGACTTCCATAATTTTCTTAGACTTCAACATTAGCGTTAATACTTTTGCGCTCACAGCTAATTGCATAAAGAGAATCAAAGATGTCTCCGTCATGAAATCTATGTTACCCCATATAACAACAAGGTCCGCGATTTGTACATAAGCTGTGAAAACTATTAAGGAAAACGTAGTTACTCATGTTATCTATGAAAATTACGTGGTAGTTTTTAAAAAAAATCGAAGGTAGACAAGCATCTTCCCTCCTCCGTGAACATCAGCAATGGTAGAGGTGTTCAAATCTCAGGCGGGTACCAATTTTTCTAATGAAATACGTACTTAACAAATGTTCACGATTGACTTCCACGGTGAAGGAATAACATCGTATAATAAAAATGAAACCCGCAAAATTATAATTTGCGTAATTACTGGTGGTAGGACCTCTTGTGAGTCCGCGCGGGTGGATACCACCACCCTGCCTATTTCTGCCGTGAAGCAGTAATGCGTTTCGGTTTGAAGGGTGGGGCAGCCGTTGTAATTATACTTGAGACCTCAGAACTTATATCTCAAGGTGGGTGGCGCATTTACGTTGTGGATGTCTATGGGCTCCAGTAACCACTTAAGACCAGGTAGGCTGTGAGCTCGTCCACCCATCTAAGCAATAAAAAAAAAATAAAAAAAACCGTGATGATAATTTCTTGCTAAAGCTGGATAGTTAGTCGAAAAAAGATGATATTCTTGATCCAATTCTCTTAAATTACCTCATTATTTGATATAAAAATAAATCAAAGGTAGCAAACTTAGTACATAAAATGGATCTAAGTCTTGAGACATCTGTGATTACGGCCGGATTTCGGTCATTAAGCGAACACTAGTTGATATGACATTATGTTACGGGTAGTAGGGCATCTTGTGAGCCCGCTAGATAAGGTACCACCACCCGGGTACCAATTTTTCTAATGAAATACGTACTCAACAAATGTTCACGGTTGACTTCCACGGTGAAAGAATAACATCGTGTAATAAAAATCAAACCCGCAAAATAATAATTTGCGTAATTACTGGTGGTAGGACCTCTTGTGAGTCCGCGCGGGTAGGTACCACCACCCTGCCTATTTCTGCCGTGAAGCAGTAATGCGTTTCGGTTTGAAGGGTGGAGAAGCCGTTCTAACTATACTTGAGACCTGAGAACTTATATCTCAGGATGGGTGGCACATTTACGTCGTAGATGTCTATGGCCTCCAGTAANAAAATAATAATTTGCGTAATTACTGGTGGTAGGACCTCTTGTGAGTCCGCGCGGGTAGGTACCACCACCCTGCCTATTTCTGCCGTGAAGCAGTAATGCGTTTCGGTTTGAAGGGTGGAGAAGCCGTTCTAACTATACTTGAGACCTGAGAACTTATATCTCAGGATGGGTGGCACATTTACGTCGTAGATGTCTATGGCCTCCAGTAAGCACTTAGCACCAGGTGGGCTGTGAGCTCGTCCACCCATCTAAGCAATAGATAAAAAAAAAGCTCGATAATAAGAATTTTATGATTTCGCTTTGGCATACGGCTTCCTCCATTTGGTAGAACAGCTCACACCTGACCCAAAATTGAGTGACACGATCTCCGCTTTATTTTAACATCATCATTTGACCCCAGAGGCTCCATTGGGAACGGTCGATCGCCTGATCCATTCTACTACCCATACTACTACCCATACCCATGCTACTCGCTCGCACCCCCACTGCCTCTCGGAGGATTTGACTGTGCCTCTGATATAGCTGTTGATGGACATCATTTAATGATGATGGTCATCAGCGCGACGGTGATCACCTGTGAGCGACTTAGGAGACTCCTTGTTCTTGGGTTAATTACACAGCTGGACTTGACCGTATTCACGATTGATCTCGTAGCTCATCATTTTAGATTGTCATTGTAATATATTACGCACCAAATAAATACAGGAAAACCAGCCCGCCATACACTTTCATGATAATTCTTTGAGTCTTCGTGTAGTCATCTCGCAGTATCAGTCCAGCCCATGATAAAGTATTCAAAGTTAATGTTAAGCCAAAGATTCTGTTTTTAATTAAAGATGGCATCTTGACAAAAATGGCCTAAAACACAAAAATTAAAAATAGATCCATAAGTGTGTGATTTAAAGAGTACATTGAGTGATAAAAGCAATGTTTTTGCTCATCATTGTTATCCTAGGTGGACTATCTTTCCGTCCACCTCTTACAACCAGCAATATATTGGCAGTGACACCAGCGAATGGCTTGTATTCAGGGTCTTTTGTTATCTCTCAGCTTTTACATTGCGGTTTCGCGAAATCAAAACTCACTACTAATGCTTACTGATTGTAGGACGTCTGTGAGTTACTGGTGATAGGACGTCTTGTGAGTCCGCACGGGTAGGTACCGCCACCCTGCCTGTTTCTGCCGTGAAACAGTAATGCGTTTCGGGTTTGAAGGTCGGAGCAGTCGTTGTTCCGTAAAAACGGAGACCTTAGACCTTAGATTTCGAGGTGGGTGGCAGCATTTACGTTGTAGATGTCTATGGGCTCCAGTAACCACTTAACACCAGGTTTTTAGAACAATAAAAAAAAATACAATAAATACAATAAAAAAAAAAGAACCATAAAGAAAATTACAGGAATTCATATTAGTAATTAAAACAGTATTTTCCACTTATACCAAAATAAATATTTTAAAATTAATTTCGTGTTCACGACCATATCGAAGCTTGAAAGGCAAATGTGACTAAGCGACAATGCGTGAACTTTACAGTAGACTAATAATAATTTAATGTTGAAATACCTGAAGAAAATTCTATTTTAACAAATCTAGCTGTAGGATTGAAATGATTTTAATAGACCTAGAAATATATATTTTTTGTGCATCGAATATGGTTATTGCCTATCATTTATGTACAAAGCAGTTATTGTCGCTTAGTCACGTTTGCCTTTCAAGCGTCGATATGAATAACATGGTACGATTTTTAACAAAAGCAGTAATTTTACCGAATCGAGCAGTAGGTGAGTATAACACGACCGAACTTGAAATGTAAACTAAAAGCTGGCTTGAGCCGATAATTCGTTTGCAATTATTTATTAGACGTCAAAGGTTACAAGCGCAGTGTGGGAAAGTAACCTATGCTTATGAAAATCCAGATACGGATTGACAGAAATAAAACTAACATTAAACCTTCATTCATTACGTCGTTTAGTTAAGTTTTTTTTTTTTTTTACTTTTTTTTGTCCTTGTAGGTAAACGAACATACAACTCTCTTGATGGTAAACATCAACATTTTCACATCAAAACAGTGTCTGCTAAATATTAAATATGGAAGAATAACAAACAGTTTCATCTTGCTAATCTCTTTAAGTTTATATAAAAATGAATTGCTGTTCGTTAGTCTCGCTAAACCTCGAGAACGGCTGGACCGATGTGGCTGATTTTGGTCTTGAATTATTTGTGGAAGTCCAGAGAAGGTTTAAAAGGTACATAAATATGAAAATGCTCGGAATTACGGAAATCGGAGGCACTACGAAATCTGCCGGGTCAGCTAGTCGTGTATAAAAATCAAACACGCAAAATTATAATTTGCGTAATTACTGGTGGTAGGACCTCTTGTGAGTCCGCGCAGGTAGGTACGGCCACCCTTTTTTTTTTTTTTTTCGGGTAGAGGGCCGAACCTCCTACGAGGTCCCCGCGCAAAAGGGGCGCGCGGGGTATGTGAGACTCAACGATCTGCATGGTGTTGTGAGCAGACCGCGGGCCCAAGGATTTTAGGGCCCACCCACTAAACGACTCCCCTGCACTCTTACACCCGACGTCCGATCCCCTCCGAGATCAGAACCCGGATGAGGTAGGGGGGTTACCGCGGTCAACACTACAACCAGACGGCGCGACTCACCCCAAGGACGCCCAGCCGACGGAGCCTTCGAGGCGAATCGAAGGCTCTGAAACGTCGGCCGTCTCGGTACGGTAGCCCGTCGGGCCACCCAGACGGTGCCGCTGGTGTCCCGGAATACCCCGCTGGACCAGAACCAGCCTGCCGGGTCGGGACGCGATACACCGTCGACCGGTCGCTCTATTTACTCCATGGCAGCGCGCTAGAGTGCTGGTAGCGCGCCGCGCGGCCTCACCCCCACAGGTCGCCCCTTGACCTTCACCGGGGGGAGTTCGCCTCTTACAAGGGCCGAAGTCGGGCAAAAGCCCTTCTGCGGCCCCCGGCTCGGCGGCGACGNCATTTAACGACTTCCCAGATGATGTTTTGGCTGAGGCATCAAACACTACTCTCAATTTCGTCGTTTCACTGTTCTCGCGAAGCACACAGTGATGCGGAAGGTAATTGCCAAACCTTGGGCGATCTACTTCACTTAGGTGACCTAATTCCTTATATTCATCAATAAATTTAGTGTATGACTCCTTAAGTTTCGGATTTTTATTTAATTTTAATTCTAAATTTAAGAAACGTTTTCTAGCCATATAATATGAATCACCAAGACTAGTTTCGGGTTCTTTTAAGGGCATACGGACACAAAACCGACCGTCGGATAAGCGGGTCGTGTTTTCTATAAAGTCAATTTCACAAAACTGTTCCTCTAATGAGTATGTTTTTGTCTCTGAAGGTAGTTCCTCAATCTCCCAAAACTTCTTCAGGGAATTATCTATATTTGAAAACTGATTGAAATAACAATAGACCTCCGAGTTGGATTGACTGATACTGAGTGGGCCGGCTATTAACCACCCTAATTGTGATTCTTGCAAAGTAGGTTTATTAGACCCTAACTTAATTTGATTTGTCCCAATAATGTTCCAAAATATGTCAGCTCCTAACAGCATATCTATATTGGAAGGCTGGAAGAACCTTGGATCTGCTAGTTGTATACCACATGGAATATCTAATTCGCAAACGTCTATTTCGACACTGGGTAAAATACCTGTTATCGTTGGCACTAGTAAACAAGAGACTGGAGTACTAAATGTCGATAAACAAGATTTAATCTGAACGACACACTTTCCTAAAATGTTAGTTTTAATATTATTAAGACCACAAACCTTTAAGGTTTCACTGGAATTCTCATTGAACCCTAACTTCTCTCTCATAGCTTCGGTCAGAAATGACGATTGACTACCAGTGTCCAATAATGCTCGTGCCTTAACCTTTTTATTTTTCAACTCATTAACTATTACTACCTGCGCCGTACACAACAACGTATGAGTCATCGTCGTAGCTGATAACGTAACCGGTTCATTTTGTTGACTATTTGCACTTTGTTCTGAATACGTAATCATACCATCTTTATGAACCAAAGTATTGTGTCTACCTTTACATATCTTGCAAGAACCCTTTAAACGGCACTGATAACTATTATGCCCACTACGTAGGCACTTAGTGCATAATTTTAACCGTTTTACTTCGCACATTCTATCATCATAGTTCATTTGTTTGAACTTCGGACATTCATAAACAAAATGGTTCTGGCTACAAACTACGCATTGATATTTTCCCGTATTTGCATCCGAAGCAGCCAAAAAAGATTTCACCTGTCTTTTATTTTGAGAGTGCATAAAATTATTATGTTCCTGTTTATCGAATCTATTATAATGCGTTGTTTCCAAGATGTCTGCTCGGTTACGTAAGAACGAGTAAAACTGATCCAACGATGGTAAATCCGAGAGACTATTTTTATATTCTTCCCATTTTATACTAGTGGTGGAGTCCAACTTTGCTGAAACTATGAATATCAACAAGACATCCCACTGATCAGTAGGAAGCCCTAGAGTGTGCAAAGAACTCAAGTTTTTCGATAAATGATCAATTAAATATCGCAATGCTTTAAATGATTCCTTCACAATTGGTTCAATGTTAAGTAATGACTTAATGTGATTATTTATTAATATATTTTTACTATTATAACGATTACATAAAATTTGCCATGCCTTTTCANAGAAACAAAACAATTAAACACTTCCAGGAAAGCAGTTTGTCGGCAGATGTACCACGAACACAGAAATAACGAAAGGAAACAAAACAAATAAAAACTTCCAGGAAAAAACACTTGGTCGGCAGATGTACCACGAACACAGGCCGCGCGAACAATGGCCGGGCTAACAAAAGCCGGGCGAACAAAGGCCGGGCGATCGAGTAGTCGATGGGCACGTCCGCACGTGACGGGTGCCTCTATCGGAATGATTGAAGACAGTAATTCAATATCTGATTGTATGGCGTTAAAATCCGACAGTAATTCTTGAAATTTATCAACCCGCAAAGATATCTCTTTGACTTGAATGCTAGTTATCTTTTTCGCACCTACCTGGGTTAAAACATTCAAATAATCTTTAAATTTTGTCAGCCTACCTTTGACTATGCTACGCTTTTTGACAAGCTCCTTTAAACTCTCTTTTCCTTCCATGGCCAATTAAAGAAATAATTAAATTGAACAATGAACTAGGCAAGACAATGAAATGGTCAAACCAGTTTTAACGGTTCCGTTGCGGTGTGATCCAGCCGCCTTACCGTAGTTGCCACTCGAATGCTTGATAGGTTCGCCAACCACACGCCTAGCACTACGCAAGAGAATATCTGGAAATATGTAACGTTAATTTTAGGTGTTAGAAGTTGGTAAGCTTTGTTACAGGGTAGGCAGAACTAAAAAAAAAAAAACTGCGCAAAATTGAATAAATAGCTACATTTAGCTTTAAAGTATTTAGCTAGGAAGTAAATAGCGCAGATAACTAGTAATTTAACTTTAAGCTAAAACCATCATCTAATGGGGTTTATAACTTTATTTAATTTTTAAAGAAAAAATAGGAATGCGATAGGTACTTATAGGCAAGCTTTCGCAATAGCCGAAGCGTAAATTACAAAGAAATAGTAATAGTGCACTTGTTATTATCTTGTAACGCTTTCGGAGCGGCAAGCCGTACGCAAATCAAAAAGGAAAAAAAATGAGAAATAGTGGATAGGATTAAAAGGCCAACTTCCCTTGGGTATCCCGCCAGACGTCCAGCAGTCCTCAGCAAAGTCTTCACTTCACCAGGGCAGAAGGCAGCATAAGCAGCAATCCAATCCAATCTCTTTGTTCCGTAAATTCAAATTCCCGTAACCGTTATCCGTTGTTCTTCGATGTTTATCCGAAGATTACAGCTTTGAGTCGCGATTGTAAACGGTCGCCACTAATGTTAATAAAACTCCAATAATACAACTCGCTTTATAATAATTAATATTTCATAAATTTGGAGATTAACATAAATTCTTATGAGCGGTCGAAACGTCCGCTGTTGATCGAGTCTGTCGGCGATCGCTCTCAGCTGATGCGTCCCCCCGTCCGCCGCGTCTCCCGCCGCTGTTGTCCACGCGTTCGATGCGTGGACATTTACCAAAAATACCGATATTACGCAGCTACCGGCACGTCGCTCCGCTCGGCCGGTGAATAGTTGACCCATCGAGCGCCAACAGACGGCACTTGCGTTCCATATCTCGTACTGGCTGCAGCAACCACGTGTTGATTGCGACACGGCCTTCCTGGCTGTACACGTCCTCGTATGATGGTTAACCTACAATCAAAAACATCCACGAGAACACTTGTTCCGCTCGATCACTCCTGACTACACTTTACGACTTATCGGAAAATTTAAAGTCATCAAAGCTTTAAACTGTCCCTTCGGAACAAGGTGACACTTTACAAAACTTGCATAAGGCCCGTCATGACTTACGCGAGTGTGGTGTTCGCTCACGCGGCCCGCACACACATAGACACCCTTCAATCTCTACAATCCCGCTTTTGCAGGTTAGCCGTCGGAGCTCCGTGGTTCGTGAGGAACGTTGACCTACACGNGAAAATTTCGCAGACGTCTTAAGGATCCTGCAGCCGCATAAATCTTTCGACAAGTTTCTTTAATTTGTGCATCCCATGACATATGCCTATCTACAAAGATACCCAAGTTTCTCACCTTATCACTTACTGGTATTTGAACTCCATCAATTGAAATTGGGGGAATTCGCGTCCAATCAACTGTCGCAAGCCTTCTAGGTGCACCGACAACAATGACCTGAGTTTTTGTCGGATTTACTTGCAGCCCATAAGATTTACTCCAATTTGTTATACTAAGTAAGTCATTATTTACTTTGATGCAAGCAA